CCACAATCATTACATATACTTCAGTCAAATTGAGTTGTACATTTTAGAGTTTATGTATTTTACTATCACAGTACCACAATTTTCATTTGATTACAATGACTTAAACGTAATTTTTTTAAAATCTAAAATCATTTATATTCGAAGACGCAACCGCCTACTGGCTTACTTTCGCAATCTCAATGAGTCTACCATAACTTTACACCTTTATAACGTATTCTAAAAGAAAGTCAGTTGGTAGGATATCTACCATTCCTTCTCTTTCAAAAATTTTAAAGGTCAGTTTGGTATAGCGGTTAAGGAAGAGCAGGACAGATGAAACTCTGTTAAAGTTCTAACCTCAGCTATGGAAGCACAATGAGTAATTTTGGGCCATTAATTCTTTCCAATTGCAGCCTAACTCACAGGGTTGTTGATATGGAGTAAAATACAAAGCATTTCCTATCTAAGCTACCTTCAGTTCCGGAAGAAAAGTGCAATAAGGATTAGCATCAAATTTGCAATTCTGATGACTCCAGATTCTGGAAGAGGATTTGAAAGGGGCCACGTGCTTATTCTTAATTTGAATGTCTTTTTTTTCTTTTCCAAATGGAGTTTCTTGAGTTACTGAATCCAAGACCTCCTACATGACGGTTATTCTCTTTTATTCTCTGATTAGCATCTCATTTGGCTGAATGGACTCAGGGAGCCCCAACAGGTCAGTAAATTTACAAAGGAACATCATCCTGAAAACCGAGTTTATCTTTCCCTGAGGAAGAAAAATCCAAAAGGGCCTTCTCAATTTCCCCCTGGCCAAAGGTGTGGGAGGAGAGTTATAGTGACTTGAAGAAAAGGCCAGTGTACACATGTATATAATGAAAGCCATTTGTAACCCAAGGAGCACACATCCACACACGCACGAACACACAGAGCAATTTGCAGGCACGAACCTTCTCTGCCATACACCTGCGTTCTGCAAAGAGAGAGTCCGCAGACCCCCCAATAAATAAATAAAGGCATAACATGCAATTTACTGTTCCTCTGCACCGAAATATTAATTAACGTTTCCATTTGAGGAGAATGGAAGAGTGGGGGAAGGGCTAGGAAGCACCTCCAAGCGGAGATGCCTGGTTGAAACCATTAGTTTATGCTTTGCTTGAGATCTAAAACATAAAGGACCTCAGATCGTATGTATGTTGACTGGCTGTCTCAATCTGCAAGATTGCTTTGATCCATTCTGGCATAGAAAAATGACTAACAGAGTCTGAAAAAAATGACCTCATGGCACTGCACAACCTCTCTTCCTCTGAGACGAGCAAGTCCAGTCTTAAGGCCTTATAAAGCCGAATAAAGATCACAAGGTTGAAGGCCTTTAAGTTGCTGGATGAGGCTTTAGAGCCTCAGATGCGAGTCCACCTCTGTGATCCTTGGCTGAAGCAAGCCTTGAAAAGAAAATTTGCATATTCTTTCCTTTATCCCTCGGTACACCCACGTTACACCTATCCTCCGCGAGCTGCACTGGTTACCGATCAGTCTCCGGATACGCTTCAAGGTGCTAGTCGTAACTTATAAAGCCCTTCATGGTATTGGATCTGGGTACTTGAGAGACCGCCTGGGTACTTGA